TGCTTTTTTTTATGCTGCATGATGGCATATTTTACATGACCTCAAAACTGTGGCTAGGATGATTGACACTTGATTATTTTCAAACCAAAATTCTGTGTAATGAATACACTTGGCCATAGGCAATTATATCATAGACCAATTGTTCAAAAGAGTACAAGAAATTGGAGTCCAGAAAGATGAATGACAAGGCCAGAGTCACACCTTTTTACTACAAGGTAGGACTAGAGTTCACACTTTTTGATATTAATTAAGCTTTTTAAATGTTTCTCATTTTGACTACTGCATAAGTACAATAGAAAAAATATTCAAAGATGATTTATTCAAGCATAAGCTATGCACAAGGCTTTGCAACCTCGTTGCTTAGATTCATAAATAAACCCTTCCAGGCAACCATGAAGGGTTGGCCTTCCAACCGGGAAGATGGCCCAGGTATAAGGCAACATGGGACATCGGGCAGGACCATTGATTAAGGCCTCTGTTCTTTTAGTATTAGCACAAGATATATTAATATCTGACATCTCTTGGTGAGTCAAGCCCTAAATGATTTTTCATATGTGAACAAATTTCAATTGTTGAAAAGTACTAAATAATTATAATTTTCTATAACAAAACCATTTGAAAAGTTACACTGGTTCTGATTCCAGAACAAGATATAATAGACTTGGGGCGCCTGGGTGGCTCAGTTGGTTAAGCGACTGCCTTCGGCTCAGGTCATGATCCTGGAGTCCCGGGATTGAGTCCCGCATCGGGCTCCCTGCTCAGCGGGGAGTCTGCTTCTCCCTCTGACCCTCCCCCCTCTCATGTGCTCTCTCTCTCTCATTCTCTCTCTCAAATAAATAAATAAAATCTTAAAAAAAAAAAAAGATATAATAGACTCACTTTTCCTTGCTTTTTTTGCTAGCTTTATTTAGAGGAAATGGATATTGTCCTGGAAATTATTCAGCATAAAAGAATTAAAAGGGCTCTGAAATCTGGCCGGGGCAGCAGGGGTTAGGGGTAGGGCAAGGTATATTATCTAAAGAACTCAGGACTTAAGGAAGGAAAACAATGTGGTAACTGTAGGGTTTTTTCTTTTTCATAATGCTGGACTGGGGATCAAAGAGACCTACAGGGACTGCCAAAAGAATCTGCCTGTCTAGACAAAAGGTTGGGAATGGGAAGCCCACCAGAGACCTTGTAGGAATCCTGTCACGCACACTGGAGCCCTGTCAGTGGTTCAATCCTTGGGAGCAGCACTGCAGTGAAGCCCAGATGCCCTGCCCCCTTGACAGCTGGCCTGGTGGGTGAGCTGATCTACAGGCATCATGGAAGTCCTGGTTGCCCCGACAGCATGTCACAAACGGGATACGGGTGATGTTCTGTTTACCAGCAGCTATGCAAGCAGTAAAGCCCTGATTATAAGATAAATTAGACTTTATAGCAAAGAAAATTACTAGCAAATAAGATGGGTATCATATAATGCTAAAAGAATCAATCCACAAAGGTGATACAGCAATCCTAACTGTGTATATCCCAATGGACAGAGCTTCAGGATTCAAGTAGCAAAAACTGATAGAGCTGAAAGGAGAAATAAAGCCATCCACAACCATGCTGGGATTTCAACATTGATCTCTCAGCAACTGATAAAACTACTAGACAAGGGCGCCTGGGTGGTTCAGTCAGTTAAGCATCTGTAAGCAACTGTATCAGTCAGTTAAGCATCTGCCTTCAGCTCAGGTCATGATCCCAGGCTCCTGGGATTGAGCCCCACGTCGGGCTCCCTGCTGAGCAGGGAGCCTGCTTCTCCCTCTGTCCCTCCCCGCTGCTCATGTGCTCTCTCTCTGAAATAAATAAAAGTCTTAAAAAAAAAAACCAAAAACTACTAGACAAAAATAAGCAAGGATATAGAAGAACTCAACACCACCATCAATCAACATGAGCATTATAGATTAGTGACCCAGCATCACATTAAGCTTTCTCAAGCGGCCATGAAACATTTACAAGAAAAACATATTCTAGGTCAAAAATCTAACCCTAAGAAATTAAATAATTGAAATCAGACAAAATATGATTTGAATCTTCATGATAATAACTTCCCTGAAAAGCCCTTACACAATCTTAATTCTCTCCCTCATATTGTAAAACCACATTTTAGTGGAATTCAATCAACACTTCTTCCAATCTTATATCTGATTACCAGGATTTTGCAGGATAACCTCAGAAAAGTAAACTGGCTTGTTTCTTTTTTTTTTTTTTTAATTTTATTTATTTGAGAGATAGAGCATGAGCAGGGGGAGGGGCAGAGGGAGAAGCAGACTCCCCACTGAGCAGTGAGCCAGAGGACTGGACTTGGGGCCAGATCCCAGGACCCTGAGATCATAACTTTAGCCAAAGTCAGCCACTTAACAAGCTCAGCCACCCAGGCACGCCTGGCTTGTTTCACTTTAAATTCATGATCTCAACATGGTCTTTCATTATAAGCCCTATACATTTCCAGTTACATTTATTTTTTAACTATTTTTAGCATGTTTGTTACTCTTAAGAATGAATTCATTCTTTTACTGCTTATTGTTAATATAAAAAAGTATTTGTTTTATATATTTACTTTTTAGCTAGTTGTCTGATGAAATTATCTAAAATAATACCAATTGCTTTATAGCTGAATCTTTGACCTTCTAGGTCTGCAATAATGTATTTGAAAATAAATGATTGTGTCTCTTATCCTATGTACTTACTTTTGTATTATTCTTGGGTGACTATTACTAGTTAGCATCCACAAAATAATCCAGTATGTACCCACAGCGGGGATAACACTCTGACTTGAATTTTACTGATTTCAATAATAGCTGTTTTAGTGTTTTAACATTTAATGTATTATCTATTTGCTGTAGGAAAATAGCAAGCATTACAATGTCTAAGTACTTCGAATCTATTCCTAGTTTTTAAAAGTAGTTTTTAAAAGAAATGGTCATTTAATGTTATCAAATGACATTTTGAGAGGATTTTTTCTATTATGAATAAATAATAAAAATAATTTATGTAAAGTTGAACCATTCATGCATACTTAAAATTAAATACTTGGTTATGCTGCATAACTCTTTTAATATATATCTTTTAATTTTATTAAGTAGTATTTCAATTAAGATTTTTACCCCTGCAGTGTTAGGTCCAATTAATCTGGTGCTTCATTTTATGCTATCATAAAATCCGTTGGTGTGGGGATTATATTAACTTGACTCTTTTTTTCCTCTAACTTAATGTATTTAGAATTGAGTCATCTATGCATGCCTACCTGGTTTGCTATATTATTCTTTTGGTATAATCTTAGATTCAATTTACTACCATTATAATTAGAATAATTATATCTATACTTAGGTCAAACTTATTTGTAGTCATATCCTAATAACACTCTCATACAAAATATATGCCAGCTATATTTTCTGAAATCTCAAATTCCTTGAATGTTGAACTAAATCATCTGTTCTCTGAAGGTTTAACACCTGTCTTTTGTATTTGACCCTTTTTCCAGTATTACTGAATTATTCGTTTTCTATCTCTTAGCAATAGGATTTGATAAATTATATATATATTTTTGACAAATTATATATTCTTTAAATAATATATTTTCTTTCTCAAATGTATCACCATAGAGTTATTTGTGTTATGACTATATTGTTTTGGCCTAAAGGATTGCTTTTTTATATCTCCTTATGTGAGTTCTTTCATTCTAAGTCTTGGAAACTTTCATTATTTTTTAATAGACTCATTTTTTTTCCTTTTTCTTTCTTTCTTTTTTTTTTACCTTTCCATTTCAATTCCTGTTATTTGATGATGGAATTGTCCCCCACGTCTTATTCATCAATCCTGATTTCCATATCCTGGGATTTTTGCTTGGACTGTAGCAGTTGTCCTCCCCTGGGCCTTGGCAAATGTTAATGCAGTTTCACCTGTGATCATCTTTTTCTCTCTCTATTAAAAATTTTCACTAGGGAGGGTGAGTGTATTAGTCGGCTAGGGCTGCCACAACAAAATACCATAGAGTGTGTGACTTAAACAACAGAAAATATTTTCTCACAGTTCTGGAGGCTAGAAGTTCAAGATCAAGGTACTTTCTAGACGGCTTCTGGTAAGGACTCTTCCTGGCTTGCAGATGGCCAGTGGTTTTTCTTCTGAGCATGTAAGGAGAGAAAGAGAGCTCTCTGGTGTCTCTTCTTATATGGAAATTAATCCAATTAGGACATCACCCTTACGATGTCACTTAACCTTAATTTACCCTTAAAGGTCCTCTCTTTAAATGCAGTCAACTTGGGGGTTGAGGCTTTAACACCTTTAACACTGTTAGGGAGCATACAATTTAGGTCATAGCCGGGAGGTACAGAAGCTTATTTAGGAGGTGAACCCAGAAAGCAAATGTGAGGGAGTTCAGAGAGTAAGACAGGAAAAGGAAAAAAACAAAAAAACAAAAGAACCCCACCAAAACTGATGTGTATTTATTAGCATTACTGCTTAACCAACACAGGTGATTCTTCTAGGAGTCTTGAGATAATACTGAATTTCTTAAAAAAAAAAAATCTGTGTAAAGCAGAGATCATCAAACTATAATCTGAAGGTAGGGTTGCCAGATAAAATACAAGATACTCAATTAACTTTGAATTTCATATAAACAAAAAATTTTTTAGGATATTCTCATGCTAAAAAAAAGTTAATTGCATTTATCTGAAATCCCAATTTAGGTAAGTGTCCTGCATTTTTTTTATATAAATATGGCAACCCCACCCAAATTTAGCCAGTGGCCAAATTTAGCCAGCGGCCTGTTTTTGTAGATAAGATTGGAACACAGCCACACCCATTCATTTGTGTATTGTCTATGACAACGTGTGCACGACAGTGGTATAATTGAGTGGTCCCAACAAAGACTGCATGCCAGCAAAGGCTAAAATATCTGTTAATGGAAATATCTGTTAATGTCAGTTAATGGAAATGTCTGTAGACCCAGGGTTTAAAGAACAAGAAGGCCTGACCATGTGCATACACAGAAGGGATGCAAGGATCACTGCAGGTCATGTCATCTCACACCTGGAAAATCCTCAGGTTGTTGAAAAGCCCAGAGTCTCCTACTCCACTCCAAAAGTAGACCACAGTTGTTTTAGTGATGAGTTTCCCTGAGTAGCTTATTGGCTAGAAGAAAAATCAAAAACATTTGGTCAGACCCTATGACCAGAATACCTCACAAGTAAATTAAAAGAACCGGCTACATGTAGGTTTTCAACAAAGATTTGATAAATGGAACAAAAATATATAAAGTATTTTTAGCTTTAATAATGTCACAAAAATAGACTACCAGATCACACTTTTGTTGTGTTTTATTTAGGTATAAATCTTGGCTCTTTTTTTTTTTTCCCTTTCAAAGGGGAAAAGTGTCTTCAAAGACACTTTTTACAATATAAATCTAGATTATTATAGCATGTCATCTTTAAAACAGTGATAATCCTTGTTTCCACATTTCTTTCCTACTATTGTTTTTAGACATCAAATCAATCCAAATCCCTTATGAAATTATTGCCAGGGATGGCAAATGTATGTTACTCTTACTACATTAGCCTTTGACCTAGCCTCTGAAATACCAGAATATAACCTGTCTTGTATTTTGTAACATTTCTTCATTCTTCCAAAGGCAGCTTGACTTTACTCAGTATGTCAAGTCAAATAAATAACAGTGCCCTAGTATTTTTTTAAACAGAAAAATGCTCTGTTTTGCTTCAATACCTTTTAACAAAGTTCTGTTCAGTAAGTATATCATATTGGCCCAAGCATTTGAAGACAGAAAACTCTGCAAGGCAGGGCTTTTGTGAACCCATGGAAGGTTACTGCCTCTGAATCTCGATCCTCATCTGATGCAAATATTTAGTACACTACATTAGGCAGTTTGGATGTGATCAATGATATGGATACTGATTCATCATTTAAAGTATGGCATTGGGAACACCCAAGGCAAAGACAAAATAATTAGCATTTATCAAGGGAAATTATTTGTGAGATGCTAAAACTAAATATTTTAAACATATCTTCATTTGATTCTAAAAATTCCTTTGTGAATTTTTCTTTCTAAAACCATGATTCATAATTTAAGCTACTTTAGTCCTTAAAATAAGCTTTGAGGTGACTTACTCTTAAATCTCAAATAAAGTGAGAGTATTAATTGTAGAGTTATTAAAAATAAGCTAATAACAATGAAGTTATTTAAAAACAAATTAAATTTAGGGGTGCCTGGGTGGCACAGTTGGTTAAGAATCCGACGCGATTTCAGCTCAGGTGGTGATCTCAGGGTCATGAGATCAAGCCCCATGTTAGGCTCCACACTCAGCATGGAGTCTGCTTGAGTTTCTCTCCCTCCTTCCCTTCCTCTGTCTCTGTCTCTGTCTCTCTCTCTCTCACATAAATAAATAAATCTTTAAAAAAATATATAAATTACATTTAAAAACTGACTTTTAAATAACATCCATGGGCAAATTGATTTATCTCTCTGGCAGTCTACCTATCTACCTACCTACCTACCTATCTATGTATCTATCCATCTCTGTTTATGTTGTTGATATTCTGTATAGAAATCTAATATAACATGGAGGGAGGGGTCCAGGTCTTCTTTCTCCAGTTTGATCAAGTTACTTTTTTTTTTTTGGCAAATTATGACAGTCTTGAGGGACTTCCATACAATATAAAGATACTTAGGAGATGAAAATATTAAAGGGCATTTAAAAATTATTTTAATGGATATTAGTAATATTGTCTTTATAGATAGTGAAAATTTAAGCTCTGAAACTGTCCTGTTTTAGAATGGAAAAGTCTTTTAATTGTATTGACTGTTGCTATGTGCTCTATATGCATGTTGTCAGCCGGTTACAGGATGCCCATGCACTTCCTCTCTTGCCAGTTAGAAAAATTCATGTTGGTACCATGAGTCAATCAACTGTGCCTGTCTCCAAACCTGTTTATTCCAGCATGATGTGTTAGTGTGACTTCCTAATGCAATATTGAAAAACATACTTAAATTGTTGAAATATCCATGCCAAAATACAGAATTGGGACAATGCAATCTATGAATGTTTGGACAGACATAATAAAGGTGAGTTGTTAAGCAAAAATGTTATCAAAATTAAAGCAAGACAACCTTAAAAGCTTGAAAAACTCATAAAAATACAAAAGAAACCTCTGCATTCAATTTGCTTATCGAGAATCTAAATATTACTTTGTCTGAAAAATCCTGAATATGGAAATGTAGTACAGAAAGTGCAAACCAGGTATCATTTATGCAACGAAAAAATGATAACACCATAATCAGCAAGTCCATAATCAAAGAAAATGCCTTGGCCTTATTGCAAAAGATTGACAAGTAAATATACAATTATAAGTTGATGCCAATATATTTAGGAGAATATGTCATTTTTAAAGATTCCCTTTTTAACCAATGTTCTCAATTAGCCAACTCTGGTTCCTATACTAGACTGTGTGTGTGTGTGTGTGTGTGTGTGTGTGTGTGTAGCTATGTGGTGTGTTTCAGTGACAGACACTACTTAAAATTAAAAAAAAATGTCTGGGGTCTGTTCAAAAAATAGGAAAGCTAATTAAACTTTCAAAGACCAGTAGCAGAAATCTACTTGTAGAGTAGAGACTATCATCAGCAATGGAGTGTGACTAGATACCTACCTATCCCCGAGTATCTCTCCCATGCAGGTAACAAGGAGTCAAAAATTCTACCATTTGAGACATATTTCGTTCAGCTGAGTCACCAATTTTGTGTGAGGCAGCTTTATATATTTTTAAAACTCAGTACAAAATATCAGTAATTCCCTAATACCTTCTGTAATCTCTAGATATACTGTGACCTTTTGTTTACTGTGCACATGGCTCATTATACACTCCCTGCAAAAGAACAGTAGTGTGATTGGTTACTATTTTGTATAAAACTGTAATGCATATCTATCTCCTTTGTTAGACTATGAACTGTATGTGAAAATAGGCTTTTGTTTCATAGAACCTCCAAAACCTAGCACAATCCCTGAGAAATAGATGAATAAATATATTCATGTTAAATTCTCCCCCAAATTGTATGATGATTTTTAAACAAGAACTGAGGCTCAAAGAAATAACTTGTTCATGATCACATAATGAAGATCTCATTATGAAAAATGGCTTGTCTAAATCCCACATCCATGCTTTCTCCACTGTATTAAGAAGCATTATTTGACTCTCTCTTGAAATGCAGTCCTTTGGAAAAGAATGTATTGTTCATTAAATCCTCTAGAGTAAATTAGTTTGGCAGATGGCCTCTTCTTGATCAGTAAGATCAAATCAGTAGAAACATTTTGAGCTCACTAGAAATATGTTGAAGCCATGAAAATAATTTAAAAGAGTATCAGGAGACAACAAAGATTAAATCTGTCTCCTTGCCTGGGGTTAATGCTATGCTTTAATTAATCTGAAATTCCTACTCCCATAAGAAAAATAATGACAATTATAGGATTTGTGAGAAGCAAGAAGAGTTCCAATAGCTCTTCACACACCAAAAAGGAATATATTTTTCCCAAAATGTAATATTTAAATCATTCAAAATATTCATATAAAAATTAATACATAAGTTTGAGTATGCCAAGGATAATCATTGAAACAAATACTGCAACATAAACAAGTTTGAAAAAATATAGCACACTTAAAACAAATATTGACTTTACATAAAAGTTTCTTTTTACTCAGGTACCTGCCAAAATTCTTTATGGGTGGAATTTCTCTTAAAATTTTCCACTCTGAATCAGAATTCAAAGAAACTTTTCTTTATACTCTGTGTGTATACATACACACACACACACACATATATATATATATACATATATATACATACACTATATTTAGAACTGTTCTTAAACTTCGAAATTGGCTGAGAAAAGAAGGATATTTCTTGTCATCAAGTCATAATTTATCTTTGGAACTAAGAAATGCTAAAAATAAAAAACTTGATAATTGTATGATTTATAATTCTCTAAAAAATAGACTATGAGAAAGAGATTATTTCAACTTTAAACTTCTGATAATACCACATTCATCTAAATTATTGGGTCCTAGCAGAAATTAATTCTCCAACATGGAGCATCCCAAATTCATAACCATTTCTACAGGTAATTTTTAGTTGAATATTACATCAGCAATTCATACACATTATATTCAGCAATTCATTACAAATTCATACTGAAAGTAAGAATTTACTTTTTTTCAGTGTTTCGTGTTTTCCTTCAGTGATTTCTATGCTACTTATTCTGGAAACACTACTACTATTTCTTCCATCCTCATACATAAATGCTTGAGGAAATTTGTTCATTTATATCCTGAAAAATTACTTGAATAGGACTAGTCTCTTGCACAAAAGTCAGTTGGATCCATTCTTAAATTTTGTGCACCATCCCACCAAATCTTCTCCATGTACCCTTCTAAAAATAAAACCAAACTACAGGCAGCTATTCTTTCTTCAAAAGAAAAAATTTTAAAAAGACCCTATTTTTGCAATATATATCTTCTATACTGGCTCATAAATATCTTATGTTTTCACATCTTGCCATCTTTTTAAGTACATTTTATGATTTCTACCAACAGTGGGTCATATTATAAACAGACAAATAAAAACTGTTCCATTCACTTGAAAACACTTTACAATTCAGTTTTCAGTTTGTCTACAATTGCTTTGTAAGCTCAGAAAAAGCTTTTATTTGCTTCAAAAGCAGACTCATTTGGATCTCATTGTCCTATAGGTAAACCCCCTAAGGCGTCCTTCATGATTAGACTCTTCTGTCCTACAAGTTTCTTCATGTTTTGCAGAAACTCAAAGATTTCCACAGTTAAACCTTGGTGAAAAAATTCAATGGAACAAACTTGAGCCACTGTAATATAAAAATCTGCTTAAATCCTCCTCAGTTATATTGTTATTGTTTTTCTCTCCCATTTAAACTAACTATGCCAGTTAAGATGGCATCAGGTTAGGTTACATCTGACATACAGTCTTGGGAACATCACTTATGGATGGCTGAGTAATTTTAAAATGTATCCTTCTGTTGAAGTGAATTATGTATGTTGACTACATTTACAAATAAACTTGTTTATCCAACTTAAAAAAAAACCATTTTTTTCTCACA